CGGGAGCCCGTCTCAGCTTCTGTTTTCTGTTACAGAGACATCAAGCCGGACAACATCCTGCTGGACGAGCACGGTAAGCCCGGGCGCTGCAGCGAGGAGTGGGGGGCCGGGGGCTCTGGAAAGTGGGGGGTCCCTGATGGACTAGGAGCCTTTAGCTTCGGTCCTAGTGGATGAGCATCTGTGTAAGTTTCTGGTCAGCGTCCTGCCAGGGAGAGTGGAGTCCAGCGTATTTGATGGTGTCACGTCTGGAGACGCAGCTGTTGGCTTCCCAGCGAGGAGGACAGGGCGGAAGTGGGGATGATTTGGGGCTGGCGGCCCTGGGGGTTCAACCCCAGCTCCCCAGGGGTGACAGTGACCCTGTGACTGCGGGAGAGCAGCTCACCTCTCAGCCTCAGTGTCACCTGCCAAACAGGGAAGGTGGTGCCGGCTCCCAGATCGTCATGGGGGTCACACGGGCTCGTGTCTGGCTGGCGAACCAAAAATCAGTCATTAGTCATCACAACCCGCTAACCCTCCCCTCGCTAACCCTCCCCTCGCCCAGGCTCCTCAAGCGTTTGCCTGCCTTCAGAGCCTGGCTGGCTCATTAACCTGACTGAGTCGGCCTGAAACGAGTGGAAGATTCTGGGTCTCACAGCTGCCAGGTGCGGCCGCCTGAGCCGGCCCACGGACCACACAGGCGCAGGCTCCTGCCGGGCTGTGCCCCGTAGTCTTGTGGGAATCTCCAGGGAGACGTGGTAAGAATCAAAGGCCAGCCCTGACTGCTTCGGCGAGCCCGGGGCCATCCTTCTGGGTCGGCCCCAGGGAGGTGGTGCCCAGCCACGTCAGGACCACGGGCCTAGGGCCGGGCCAGCCCAGCGATGCACAGCAGCTGCCCTGAGAGTCCACTGTGCAGCGTCCCACGCTCCCCACGGGCCTCTGGACCTGCTCCTCCGCTGCTCCTGCTTCATCAAGTGTCTCTGCCAGGCGCTGGGACGCAGCGCTGCATGCACTATTTTATACTAGGGAGTGAGTGGCTTCCTCACCCTCCCTTTCACGCCAGTGCCGGAAGGAAGTGTAGGAGCAGGCAGTTCTCCCAAGGCACGAGCCCTCCCCTAGCGGAGAGGGCCCTCACCCCCGATTTATGGCAGAGCCGCGCCTCAGCTTTTATTTGTTCCTCCGTCATTGTTGCCTCCCCCCGCCCAGCTCTATTGAGTTATGGCTGGGATTTAAAAGTTGCACCTATGAAGGGTGGACAGCGTGATTTGTAAGGTGTACAACACGATGATTTAATACACGTGAGCCTTGTGAAATGATTACCGCAGTCAGGCTAATTAACACACCCGTTTCCTCACACACCTTCCTTTTAAATGGGTGGCGAGACCGGGTAAGATTTACCCCCTTGGCGCGTTTCCCGTAGACACAGCAGCATCATTAACGGGTCACCGTGCTGTGCGTTACATCCCCTCACCATTTGCTAATGGCTCACAAACAGCTTGCAAAACAGATCACCCCGCGTGGCCGTTTACGTCAAGAGTTTGGTCATCCGCCTCATTCAGTGTTTCCTCGGAGAACATGCCGCTTGGCTGCGTTTACGATGAAATATACACATAATTAAATAGACGCATTAATAATTCATTAATAATGTTTAAAACCTGCTGCTCGCCCAAAACCCACGCCTCTCACGGAGCTTCCCCTCCCCCAGCGTCTGCCTGGCTCTCTGACCCTCAGGCGGGGCTCTGCCTCCCAGATGGCACTTTGCTCCGCTCTAGGATGTGGGGTCCCTTGGCCAGAAGCAAAAGCAGACAGAGACCGAGCTGGAGGGAGAGGTAGCATTGTAGGGAGGTGAGGGAGAGGAGCTGAGGTGCTCTGGGGCTGAGGGCAGAGCCGGAGGAAGTGGAGGTGCACCGATGAAGGACTGTCCCCGCTTTCAGCTGGTCCCATGGGGCTGGGTAAGGAGCAACCCCTGATGCGCAGGCAGGAAGGCCACGTCCGCTCGCAGGTCTGGGCGGTTAAGCTCTTGCAGGCTTGCTCCCAAGACGGAGGTCAGGTGCGTCAGCCAGGTAGCCCCAGTGATGTGTGCCCACCGCCTGGGGCCGCCGGGCTGCTACTGGAATACCTGGGCCCGGTGGTGGCCTGGGGGCCCCCGCCCTCTCCTCCTGGCCCCCCAACCCCCCGGCCGGCCGGC